GGCCCAGTGTCTGAAGCTGAGCGGAGCAGCAACTTAATAAGAGACGAATCAACACGAAGCGGCGCACGCGTCTGTAAATCACGATGTGGCGTCCCAGCTGCTGCGCTGGTTGGTTCCTCCGTGCGTTTTGTGCTCGTGGACACGAAGGATGTGAGTTGGTGTGATCGAGCTTCCCGCTGCACGTTTGCGTGTCGTTCTCAGGCGCGGTCACGGCCACCAGCACAGCCACGGCGCTCTAAATGGATCTCCAGCAGTATCTGACCCACTTCTATAAAGTGATTAATGTTGTGTGTCACTGAGAAACGAAGCGCCGCGGGATCCCCCGGCCTCGCTCCGGCGCATACAAAAGGCCACGGCTCACCGTCGCCATGGTGAAGCCAGTGGTAACAGGAAGCAGCCCATAATCTGAGTTTCTCTTTGTCGTCTCCTCTCCAGAGGAGGAAAAGAGTTCATGTGTTATTTAGTGTTGGTGAGAAGCAGCGAGCAGCTCGGAGCCGTCGCCGCCGCAGTTCCTCTGACGTCCAGCAGAGGCAGCGTGTTCGCAGCCCGATACACAAACTGTTCTCCAGAGATCTTCCTGCATTACGCCCGTTTTCATCACTCACCTGGATCAGGGGCGTGGCCTCTTTGACTGACAGGTGGACGGTGACCCAGCCGGCTGAATCACATCATGTGACCACTGATGTCGCTGTGAGGTCACACTGAGAGTTTGATGAGTGAAATTTGAGGGTTTTATTTGCAGGTGGAGCCTCGGCGTTCCTCACCAGCCCGCCGGCTTTCTTACAGCTCTGCTCGTCTCTTTCAGGGGGAGACTCCCAGGCAGCGCGCCGCCAACGCCGACGACCCGGAGCTGGCTGATTATCTGAAGAGCTGCCAGCATTACCAGATGATCCAGCGAGAGGACCAGGAGACGACCGTGTGACCTCCCGAACACCTCGCTCCTCCCGCCCTCCTTCGTATTTGTCCTCTGCAGAGCGACGCCGGCGCAGACGGCAGCGCCGTGCTTCTCGTCTGCTGTGCGGCGGCAGGACGAGTGATTGTTGTGTTTTTGTCCAAACGCCTGAAAACCCTCCAAACTACCCAACAGCGTAAACGCGCCTGGACACTAAAACAAAGTTTCCTCTTCAGGCCACAGACTCTCAGATCTGGTTCAAACTGCATTTTGAAAACGTCTTCATCGACTGAACATTAGCGCTCTGACCTCCGCGTGACGACGTGCGACGGCGAACAGCGGCGGCTTTCACCCCTCTGCAGCTGAACGCTTTCGCCGCATCACAGAAAAGCTGCAAACGTGTCTTCTTTAAGCTTCTAGTGACCTTTTGGATGTATTTGTTTACTGGACAGAAATAAGTGTTTGGATATTTAACTTCGGCTCACGCAGCTTATTTATGACGTCTTCGTAGAGATGTAACAGATTTTGTTTGTGATCAAACTGAGTTTTAGAGATTTTAGTCACACACGAGCGTGTTTTTGTCACCTGACTGTAAAGCGCGACGCTTCCTGTGATGTGTGTAAATAGCTGCGACGCCTGTAGGCTGGTCAGTGTTGGAAACGTTAAGCTGAAGCTCAAAGCAGTCACGCCCGTATGATTAATAATCACCTTTAGATAGCAGGATGACAGGATGCTGCATTATATTCAACTAATAACTGTTTGGTTTGATCATTTCTGAGTGACCTGCAATAAAGCATGTCAGCAACACTTGCCCCGCCCATTTATTCCCATAAACAATCACGTTTGTTCATGTTTGTTATTTCGTCACTAAGAGGACCAGAAGTCTCGATAACAACAACAAAAACACAATCTCACTGTCAGCACTCACCTGTGGCTTTTAACCCCGCCTCCTCCTCAGGTGTCAGGCTGTCCCGTCACTGAAGAAAACACACCTGTGTCAGCTTACCTGAGCAAGAACCGGAGCGCACTCACCTGTCCCCGAACCTGGGAGGCCTGAAGCAGCTGCAGGTCTCACTGATGGTGTGAAGTTGATTAAAAACATGATGATGTTTTATACCGAACAAAGACATTAAAAAGCCATTTGAAAAAAATAAAACATAAGAAAGAGAAAAATGCAACACAACAAACGGAGACGTTCAGCAGATCTTTGTCAGCCGGAAACATCGACCTGCTCAGGAGCAGCAAACATGAAAGCAGTGATGCAGCCTGAGGTCGGAGCTTCTGCCTCACCTGAGAGCCGTCAGACCCAAACAAGCGGCCCTTCCACCAGCGTCCATCGTGGATCCATTCTCAGCTCAATCCTCTATCAGCGTCATGCAGATGCCGCCTGAAGGTGGCGCTACACTCTGTCGGCTTCACGCGGCCTGTAAAGCATCTCTGCTGTTTTTAAAACTCCATCATTCGTTATTAGGTCGTTACTGATGAACAGCTCCTCGTGCTTTAGTCTAACATCTGAACAAATCAGTTCAATAACAAAAACAGATTTTATTTAGTGAAACGTTTTGTGTTTTTACAGAAACGTCATGAAGCGTCTGACACGTCGATCAGTGACACTCGTGTTTTACACGCAGACTCATCATCAACGTTCACGCAGTTTCACGACTGTTAGAAGTGACAGAGAACAGCAGAGAAACCCACTGACACTAAACTCTCGTGGAGGAGGACTGACGGAGCACAGGTTCCTCTTGTTGTGCCAAAAAGTGATTTCCAATGTTTTTGTGTATTTTTATGTGTAATATCTTTACGTATGTTGGTAAATAGACTTCGGTGAACAGCGTTTACAAACAGGTTTTATACAGAATTAAAAATCTGTTTTTCTTCATAACTCTGTTATTGTACTGACAGAGTAACCAATCCGCTCCTTTTTACTGAACTATCGTAATATTTCTTCTTGGCCAGCTCACTCTGACAGAAGACGTTTTTAATGTTAATGAGATTTATTTACATAAATAAAGGTTCTATAAAGGTCGCTGCCAAAAACTGGTCGCGGCTTCTACCTGTTACACGAATGTTGTTTGTGGCTCCAGATGACTTCATGTCATCCATGAGCGATGCATTTGACATGTTTCACGTGTTATAGCCCAACAAGTTACTCATAGCAGTTTAAATACGAGCAATCAGTTTCTGGCACACCGTAACAAAGGCTTCCACGCGTGACTGCGCCATCAGCGCGCCTCGGCTTTCACTCCGCTGCCCCTCGGAAGGGTTGAACATCTGGCAGCTCGCGCACAGTTAGCGCGAGCTTACACGTTTCCTTTGTTGTGCTACAGTCAGAGGCAACACCACGGTTACTGTTACCACGCAGAACAAAGACGCGCGCCGCCACCAGGCTGTGGGAACATGTTGGCGTGTTTACTGTGACCGAAGTTTGAAATGTCATGTTTTTAAAAAGTATCCCATTACTTTTGTAGTTAGATTCCTTCTTGCTGCTGGCAACACGAACAGTTTCTCTTTGTTTTTAAGAAGAGTTGCCTCGTGACCTTTCACCCACACCAGTGTTTCCTAGAAGCCGTTCCACCTGAAACTCACCTGAACGTCACCTGACACGCGTCTGTGGGCTGACACGCACTCCACTCCGCAAACATTCACGCACACACTCTGCTTTTCACGTAAACGAGCTGAGCTTGTTTTGCTCCTCGGAGACTGGATTAAAGTGTGTGATGTCACCGTGCTCGTGCGCGTGCACGCGAGGGGTTGTTCGGGAGCTGCAGCTGAAGCAGCGACAGAAAGCGAGACTGCCCCGCGCGACCGGCTGCTCCTCTCCAGCCCCAAGTAAGTGTCCGCGTTTGTTCCGTGTTTCTGCTTTCACTCTTCAGGTTGATCATCGGCGACGCGTTTGTTTGTTTGTTTGTTTAGCTTCAGTTTAATCTTGTTGTTTGTTTACTCTTGAATGTGAAGGAAGGAAAGGCAGCAAGGGATTAAGGAAGGAAACAAAGACACGAGACAGAAATCTGAAAACGGGAGCGAAAGAATCAGAAGGAAGACAGGAAGCGGAGCGAAAGCTCGTTTTACTCAAAGCTTTGCGTTTTTGACTCGTCTCTCTCCACGTCACCTGTGTGCGCTCTGATTGGCTGCGGGCAGGTGAGGCATTCGCGCTCGCGGCCTCAGGTCGGCCTCCGGATGCCAGGATGAACCCCGAGATCCAGGAGGAAGTTCTCCTGATGTCGCTGCTGAAGCAGAGGGAGCATCCCACTGCTTTTCTTCGCTCCCGTTTCTTTGTTTTCTGATGCAAATACGTTTCATTCAGGGCGGGGGGCGCGGGGGGGCTCCTCGGGGGTGGCACAGAATCTGTGTTAGGCTTTAGAGAAATGAAACCAGGCTAGAGGAGGCTTTGTTTTGGGCCAATGAATCAGTATTCTTTTGAGGGGAACTCTAAAGAGCTCATTCAGACGCTGCTCGGCCGCCCCCTTCCTCCCCCTCCTCCTCCTCTTCATTGATGGGGGGCAGACTGGAGACCTGCTGAGAGCCGGTTCTCTGCTCATAAAAGGCCGCAGGAGGAGCGAGAGCAGCAGGATTTGCTGTGCCAGCTGACATGTGAAAGAGGACCATTGCTTTAATGGAGGCTGAAAGAGGCGTCTGTCATCTCCCAGCACAATGACAGCAGCGAGGGAGAGCAGGGCCTTCTGGGTAATTGACTCTCTCTCTGTGGAGGCTGCTCTCCATTTGTCCCGAGCCGACGGCTGCTGTTGCTGCGTG